CTCTCCTTGGTGTTATTTGTTGAAAATCAACCCACTTCAAAGTCTGTATTTCAATCTTCACTATTTCTTGCTTTACCTTCAGTGATTGTAGCATTTGTTGTAGGTCAGTATTTATTCCCAATGGCTGTTTTTTCCTGCAAATCAACCTTCACTGTTTCTTCTTCCTCAGAATCAATTTTAGTTAATTCAGGATCCATCCATCCTTCAAAAAAATATTCCTTCCTTTAGTGGCCAAATTTGTTTCTTTTTATCCACAGTTTCAAATTTTTCAAATTTTTCATATACTTGTTGCATTTCTTGTATATTCTGTTCAGTTTTGGATTCTACATCAATCACCATCTCCTTAAAAGAAGCATCGAGTTTATCAAAGCGCTTTTTTTGTACAATTGAGAAGATTTCCTTTTATCTCAACATCACCTCTTGGGATATTTGTAACGTTGTTAAAAATTCTTGTATTTCCAAAAAAAATCTCTTCAGCTCTTCCATCGTTGCAATAATTCCAATAGCCACAAAGTGGCAGCCAAGATCAGTTCCACTTTTCTTTTCTCTAGATCACTAGCGGTCAGAAGGTTGGCAAGTTGCCAAATACTTTGGCAGAGGTCCCAGAAATGCAGTAGAGGAAATGGAGATTCCTATATCCTTTTTCTTTTCTCCCTTTTCTCTCTCTCTTTTTTTTTATGCCAATTAACAACAGATACAGTTTTTCCACAAGTAGTATTGCAAAAGGAAAATAGGAATGCTCACCCAAACAGTTGTCACATTAAAGAAGAAAGCATCCGACAATGTGAAAAATATCCTGGCGAGTGTCCAGTTGATCTTGGCAGAAGTCCAAACAGATATCCAAAATGATCGGTCAAAGCTTTGAACTCCTATCACGTAATTGCACCTTAAAAATTTAAACTAATTTTATACCCTTAGAGAGGTTAGAGGAAAAAGTCTTTTTCTTCGGCTTCAACTTGGACAAAAGCCTCAGCACTCTCTCATCTCAGTCGCCACCTAAACATCCGGAGGGTTTTTCTTTTCTTAATGCCAAATTATAAACAAATGCAGCTTTTCCACGGGTAATATTGCAAAAGAAGTAGTTCCAATGCTTATCTAGCTAATAAAAATCCTAAGCTAATCTTCTAAGGTGTCGAGAACTTGAAGGGGCTGAAACCACCCCTGTTTTACTCGGTTGAGAAGTACCTGAATTGCTCTCAGCAGATATGAGATTGCCATCTCACATCAAGCCAAAAGCGTGCCCAGGCAATCTGTCTTCACCCCGACAGGGCTTAGATGAGTCTCCCACGACTCGCTGCCGAGTAATACCAGCGTGATAAACGAACTCAGTTAATCACATCCGTCTTGTTCCAACGCCATCTTGGAAATCTACACACCATTCTTTCATAGGTGATCTTGATCATCAGTTCTCAGCCTTAGTCCCTTCATCCGCGTCTCCAAAACATGAGCTGCTGTGAAGATGAATGTTGAAAAAGAAGTGCTTAAAAGTGGTTGTAGTACTTGTACATAAAGGCAAGGAAGAGGAAACCTCATAGAGCCGCAGATATTAAATCAATGTAGAATCATACTTGTATAGTTTTGATAAACATGAAAAACATCCCACCCTTAAGATTCTTCTAATTAATCCAAATATAAAGATTTTTGAAGAGAAAAAAATAATAGGAAGAAAGAATTGGGTGCAATCCAGCCAAGTAAGCAGTTGAATTGGATTGATTTCAATAGGGAGTTAAACATTTGGTTAGATCTCTTTCACTTAAATCACTGGAGATTTAAATTGTTTAACTCTGTTGGGGTCTGTAGATAGATTACAGCCTTGGTGTGCCTGGGTACTTTGCACTCTAGGTATTAGTCCAGCACTGTTAATAATTGTTTAAAATGCACAACCCATTCTGAGTTCAACAAAAATTATAACTGAGCCAAACTAGAGTTTTCTTCTTAGTTTTCTATAGAATCCTGCTCTTTCCTGATTTATTTTTTAATTTAAGGGAGCAATCCTACTGAACTCAATAGGGCCTTCTGCAGAGCAGACATGGATGAATTGCCCTGTAGAAGTATATGTAGCATTAATTATGTCAGATGTTCTCTGCTTTTATTATTTAATTTAGTTAAAAACTTTCCCTTTGGCAATGTGGAACAGTTCCTTAGGGTGTTCAGCTTTGTGCATACAGCATTAGACAAGATGTTCTAAAGAGAACATCCTTGGTGTCAAATATATCTTTTATTAGAGAAATAAAATTAAATTATCATTACCAGAGTTTGCATACTAATTATTTCTGTTCTTGTTTCTTAAAAGAACAACAAATACCTCCTGACCAATATGTGTCTTTTTAAAAAAAAATTGCATTCAGGTTCACAATCCAGTTAAATAAAGGGAAATGGATAATAAACTGATTTAATTCACTCCAGCCATAGTCTGTTCATTCCAGTGTAACTTTTCCAGATAAGTGCACTTAGATTGCAATATAAAGTGCACTTTATATTCACTTAATATTTTTGCTTAAATGAGAGGTACTTCTGGGTGATCAGCCTATGGATTTCACTTATCTTTTATATGACTCTATAATGCAAGATGTCTCTACATAGACATCTTGAATGGGAAATACGTGCAGTTTTTGCCCCACAACAGCCTTTAATGGAGGCCCCAAGGCAATGCTGAATTATTGCCCATCGTCAGGTGCTTATATCTCCCTGCCTAATATTTGTGAAACTGCTCAAGAGCAGTTATATTTAATGTCCTTCATGACCTGCAGAAATATCATCAACAATTCATGGGCCACAGTATCCAAGGCTGCAGAAAAATCTAAAATAAAATTTAGCTTATAAAGGAACTTGATCAGCTTGCTTTTTGATTCAGCCAAAGTTCTGCAATGGCAGTTCTTATCCATTAGCTCACCTTGATGAAGTATTAAACATGGGGAAACTAACTGGAGCTGAAATGAAGTTACAGTGGTAATAACTAGCATTTATTGTGATTTGGGAAGAATAGATATAGTTGGTGATATCTCAGTGTTCTCTGATATTTCAAATTTGTGTCCTTAAACTGCTTTTCGATTCTCTGCACTAGGAAGTCCAGTTTGTCATAGTTAGCTGCCACTAGCCAGCTGGTGGGAAAGCTAAAACTATTTTTTGTTTCAACTGGGTTTACAATGCATTATTTATATATTGTATAAATAACTTCTAACTTCAGGACTAGGCTATGGTGAATGTGCTTTACTTGTGGCAATCCTGCCTCCAGATGAAGATGAAAGACCAGGTCATATTACACCAGTATTCCAACATTTCATTGCCATATTATTTTCTAGTCATAACTCAACTTGGTAGTTTTGACCAAATTCCTAGGTAAATTAAACTCTGAAAACCTTCATTGTGTGGAAGCATGACCTTCAATGTTGTCTGGAAATGTTCTCCAAATTGCACCACCTGATTGGTGTATCAGGTCTTTATAAAAAATATAGTATTATCAAACCTTGACCAAAATATCTATTCTCAGTGGCTGTCCTTAGTCTCCCTAGCAAGGGGCACTTGCTTGCCAGACTCTGAACCAGATTCCTCTCCCTAAGCCATGTAAGGCAGTTTACCTGGATCTGTTTTTAATGGCCGGGGGGGGGGGGCACAGATAGGGTAGAGTTAATATTGATACAGTTTTTGATGGGAGCCAGAGCAATCCTAATGTGCTTGGACGACCATCCAGGGAGGTTAGGTTGCAGAGAGCCATTGCTCCACCAACAGAGCATGCTATGTCACTGTTACACCTGTGGAAAGGTCTTTGGGTGTAAATTTACAACCAATTAAATACGGCATTTCAGGGATGCACCAGAAGCAGCTTTGGAGCTGCTAATTCCAAACACCCTTCTGTTGCTCTGGACCAGTCGTGGCTGATTCCCTGCCCATCCCACCCTTGCTTTTCAGTGGTATGTGTGAGAGAGGAGGGGATTCTGGAAGAGTCAAAACTTTTAAATGTCCAGCAGAGCCACCAAATTCCCAATCTGGCCAGCAAGAGAGAGCAGGGCTTGGAATGGATGGAGGAACCATCCCTTCCCTCCTCCTACAAATCTGTTAGGATTGAAAAACATGTTACATACACATTTTGTTTAATGTTGATTTTAGAGTTATTGCCTGCCCCAATCCAATGAAATAGAAAGTACTAGAAATCTAAATAGAATTAACCAAGTAAAACTTCAATTCTATAGCTGCATACCTCATCTGCAAATTTATGAGCAGCTATTTGAGTGTATATCCTGAACAAATATGATGCACTATAAATAAAAAATGAAATGAACATAATGTATCTCACCATTTATATTATGGTAAATAAGACCATTTTAGTTGTACCCTTGTTGACTTCCCATCAATCCAACTATACTGAGTTAGCATGAAAACATGTTAAAGCAGCATCATGATTTATTTATTTAATGAGGATTTAGTGTGATTTTCTTCTGAAAATAGAAATAGATTACTAATTATTCCTCCTACATAGGAACTTCTGTCTTTCATCAGCAACATTGATAAAGTGCATTTACCCTGCTGCATTATGTTTTATTGCAATGCTTTGTTTTGATCAGAGTATATATCGGGGGGGGATTATACAAACCCACATTTCACCATAGTTGGAATTTATCTTTGTTCCCTTATTTTGTACTGTCTTGAGTTTGAGTGAGGATTTCTACTTAGATTATTAGGATAGTGTTACATGCCAGTATATCCTTCTTTGTGAAAGATGCCAACACCTCCCCAATGCACTAGGACTTGGTAATTCCAGTAAATGAGCACTGAACAGAGTTAAAATAAACAAATGAAAAGTGAGACATGCTTTCAGTGCACGAGTGTCAGGAAATTGAACATGGCCAGGTTAAGTGGGAGTGCTTTGCTATCAAAAATGTGAAACTATACAAAGTGGGTGAAATCAGTACAATTTTACGATGAAGTTTTTAGATTTGAAGACTTTGTTAAACACAAGCATAATTTAAATGTACATGTATGTTTTTACTTTGTAAATATAGTACGTTTAATCCTAAAATGCAAGGCAGACGGATGGGGACTTCAGGGAGAATCATCACAAAGAGCACAAGTGTGAGTGGAGAGGTGTATAAGCTGGAGCATAATGATGGGAGTCAATCAGACACTGCCGTTGGTACGGTTGGAACAGGTGGGAAGAAAAGACGATCAAGCCTTAGTGCCAAAGTGGTTGCCATGGTATCTCGAAGAAGCCGAAGCACATCGCAGCTTAGCCAAACAGGTGAGTGAAATGTGTGCAGTAAGAGCATGGTTCTTAAAACATAAACCAAAATTACATCAGATTGGTTTTCAGATGTAGCCAGTCCAGGAAACAGTTTCTTGGCAAGGAGCAGCTTGATTTGTCTACAGCAGGTGTGCAGAACTTCTCCCACCCCAAAGTCTGAGGCCCATTTTGGAAAAGCTCTCAGGAGGCACATTCCAATGGCAGGTGGAGCAAAAGTCGCAAGGGGACTGGGCAAAAATAGAATCATATTTAGTCTAATCTTGCTGCTTACTATTAAGCTCTTACCTCCCATAATTTTGCCTTTCTTAATCCCAGTAATCCCATTTGGGGAACTATGCAAAAGTCAGGAAATCACTTACCATCTGGGGAAAGGTGGCAGAGCAAGGGCAAGGGGACAGGCCCTTTGGGGGACCCTAGAGGGCAGGATGGGACCCCAGGGCTGAGGTTCTGCACTCCTGGTGTATGGGATGGCACAACCACCCTTCTCACCAGGGGAGTATTATGGCATAAGCACTGTAACACTTTATTCTTTTCCGTGCAATGTATACATACGAGCTACAAAAGGCCAATCACAGCACCTGAGTAATTCTAAGCACATAACATTATTAGTAGTTCGTTTGCTTTTGTAAAAGGAAGGGACTGGTTTTGACAATAATTAAGGATGGATCCTGTATTGTTTTTTAAACTCTAAAAGTGGGCTTACTGAAATGACAGTGTAGCATGGTAATATATGTTTTGCTTTCAAAGTCACTGTTCTTTCTTGGTACTTCAGAAATCTTAATGCCTCCCCTCTATAGCCTAAAGAAAGAGCGAGCTGCTATAGAGAAAAGAGATGTTTTAAGGAATGCAGTTCTGTTAAAATCAGGAAGGGGGCTTGCCCTGCATTCGGAGGAGAGCAGGTGTCCTTAAATGACTTTTAAAACTAAAGGGAAAACCTGACATAAGGATAGAATTCAATCAGACTTACAGCAGTGGGTATCTCTCATGATCAAGATCATCACAAAGTGCAGGTATGTCAAAGATTTCTAATTTGTGTTATCAAATTCCCAACCTTCGTATTTAATCACCCTTCCTCTCTCCCACCCTCCTCCTAGGCATCAATAGAGTAAATGAAATCAGGCCATTTAAGTGCTTATTCATGCCAGATACATTTGTGATTTTCAAATAAATCTGTCAGAAAAATAATGGGGTCATGTGCTTCCATCAGTAGATTTCATAGGAAGGTGAAGTTGGAGTGTTTCTTTCTCTTTATACCAAGAGTCATTCTATGTGAAAATAGTCAGTTTGTGTTACTTTCAGAAATGCTGTACATGATTTAGGGATCTTGTAGACTCAGATGGTGATGATTAATTGTAGTATATCAAAGTGCCATGGTCTATGCAAAAACTCATGTTTCATGAGTGATCATATCAGAACCACATATGTAAAATCCAATGTATTTCTAGTATTCTGAATGTAGGGCTGGGATTAAATGTACTGGCTTTCAATTTCCAAAGAGTCACCCAGATCTTCAGAGGTAGATTTCATCTCACAAACGCACTATCACATTTTGCTTGCCAAGTAGGAAGTCATACTTTTAAGCGCTATCTATGAATCTTCACATGCCCAAATATTGTTACTGCTGTGTCTACTGACAAGGACACTGAAGATCCATCTTAAGAAATGCAGCACCCTTATCGATCTCCAGTCCCACAGTCCAAAATGTGTTCGCTTGGAAGTGCCCAATTCAGTTCAATATAATTTACTTCTATTTTTTTTTACATGTGTTTAGCTTAGCTTTTGAAACAAGAGCAGTCACCATTACGTGGCTTTTTTTTTGTTTGTTTGTTTTACTTTCCCTCAGTCTGCTTGGTTGTTATATAAAGAATGAAGACATACTGCTATTCTAACCTGTATAGTCATGTATATAACAATGTATGCTCAACCCAAATTATCTAGTATCTGCCTCTATATACTATTATAATGATCATAATGATGTGTTTCTGGTGCTTGTAGAATTCATTCCTTGATGTTGCAAATAGATTTGCCAAGAAAATTAAGCATGTGACTTCAACTGATTTTCATAGGCATTTCAGTATAAGCATTAATTATAAGCAAGGATGCAGCAGTAAGCACACTGGTTTGGAATGGCACTCTGTTGAAATTCATCAGGCTCTTGATAGGTCAGTTAGATCTGAGAAGGAGTTTCATTCAGTTTCTCCTCTGGGAAAGTCGAGAGTTGGTTTTCCATTTAGGCACGTCATATTGTGTTGATTCTGTTTCTCCCTCTGTGTAACTTTTCTATAAAAAGTTTATATGCCATCAATTTTTCATACAGTTTTCCAAGTGAAATTAAGGACACAATCTCTGGAATCTGAGCAACTCCTATTTAGACATTTCTATGTAGTTAGGGGCAAGCAGGCTGTTTTTGGGTTTTTGTTTTTTTTCAAGATCTCTAGTTGCCACTGCTGTGGGGTCATTTCTGGGTGGAGTAGCAGTTTTCCTTCTAATGTACTTCTAGATTAAATTGGATGTCTAATGTCCTTGGCTCTGCATCCCCTTTTTTAAACTCAGTATTCATGTTATCAAATACAATCCTATTGCCATGTGATGACAATTCCTTTCCTTTTTGTGGAAGAGGGGAGCTGATTCTTTTATAGACAACTTTTGGCACTTGGTACCAACATGAACATACATAAATTGTTCAGAAACAGCAGGTGGGGCTTTGTGTGTAACACAGGGCTGCCAAATGCGGGAGTTGAAGGCAAGAGCTGTTTTTCAGCTCAGTACAGCGATTTCCACTGCAGAATCTGAACAATGCCACAATTTGTTGATAGTTTTCTCTGGGGAAAACAAAATATGGGTATTGTGGATACCATTGGCTGCTCACATAAAATACTGTGTCAACAATTTTTTCTGATCACCATTTGACCTCAGTCTATGTATGCTTTCTATCAAAAATGTAAGGGAAAGCTTACAGGTGTCTCCATTTATCACTCATCATGTTTCAATTCCTCTGTCCATGTAGCTGTTTTACTCTAACCTAGCCTAATGTAACATATTTTTAATTGCCCCTGCTTCAGAAAACTTGGGGAAATGTTTGTGTTTTATCACACCTGTCATTTGCTTTTCTTCCAGCCAATGAATTGAGAATGCTACAAGGAAGTTTTCAGTACACAATTTGGAAATATTGCATGTGTATATTTTGTGAAGGTTAGGAAGCGAGATACAACTACTAAAAGATACAACATGCCAAGCAGCTCAGCTGTTTTAATTTTAAATAATACAGCTAATCTTGTTTTCTTGTAATAACACTCATGTAATATTGGAAGGATTTTTGAAAATAATTAGCCATACTCCATTACCTGGATATTATTGAATGCTTGTAATCATTTTAACAGAGCTCATTATGTGACCAGGGATTATTTACAGCAAAAGATTAGGGGACTTCAAGGATTTTCTTTAATGATTGAAAGGACTTGATCTAAACCAAGTCTCAAGCACATTTATGAATCCCTCTAATGTTGATTGGATTTTGCTCAAGAGGAAAGCTGCTGTTAAATTGCTTAAATCCCATTTGCTGCTATGGGATTTAGACATGCTCACTGTCTGAAGGATTTTTTATCTCTGTCTTAAACAATATCACTTTAGGTTTCTTTTATATTCGCTTATTTTATTCCTGCTTTTCCATTTGCATTCATATGAACTGAATAAATATTTCTTTTCACATGAATTTGTTACAGTTCCCTTTACTTCACTAGATAATTGGCAGTTTGTGTGGTGAAATTTATAATACTGCTGTTTTGGTTCTGACCATGAATTAAGACAGCAATAAGTAACCTAGTACCCTCCAGAAGTTTGGGACGGTCATCCCAAGCATCTGGAGGGCACCACCACGTTGCCTATCCCTAAATTAAGGAAATGTAGACATATAGGATAAATAGATATTGTTAATCCTGCTAAGGCTGAGGCTATATATCATCCTGTCTCTCCATGGTTGGAATGGTAGGTGTAAGGGAGAACTCATATGTGATGCACCTGAACTGCTATTTTTTTCCACAACGGCAAGTCCTCGGATTTCTGTGACAATGTTGCTAAAGCTGTCCTATACTTTGAGTATTGGGTTATTGGGCAGTGCAGGGGGCTGCTGCCTGGAGAGAACGTCGAAGACCCACTCTGTGCAGATCAGTCAAGACAGTTCTTTGGATCATGGTCTATGCCTGGATTTCTAGCAAGTATCAACTCAATGAACCAGCTTTTTTGTGACCATAAATGTGTCAAACATCCTGCAGCATCCAATCATTGGGTTTCATACTGGAGTAAGTTAAGTGTGCTTAGGTGAGGGCCACAGAAATTCCTCAACTGGGCATAAGCCTTCTCCTGGCTGTACCCCCTTCCCCAATTCCTAATCATTTGTTGCCTCTTCTGAGGCTCACTTACTGGCAGTATGATCTTTAATATAAAATAAGTGCTTTGTTGCTGACGTTGTTGTTACTTTGGCTTTGCCAAAATGGGCCTCCAGCATCATGCACTCCTGGAATGGACCCCATCTCTGGAGCTTCTCTGAAGTAGAATTTGGCCCCCAAGCTAAAAATACAGTTTGGCCCTGGCCTACTTCCTGCTGAAATTGCACACACACTCGGAGAGTAAATGCCATTGATTTCAGTGGCCTCACCTGACTTTCTTGATTGAGCTTGATATTGCAGATCACCTAGGGACTGGAACTGTGCTTGTATTTGTTAGGCACAGGTTACAAATACCTCGCTCAACCAGCAATTTGTGAAGATGAAGAAGAAATGCTAATAATGATACATTTGTGACTTACACAAATAAAAGTAAATCCAGAGCCTATGAAAATAAAAAGAATCCCTGCTGACCTCAATAGATCACTGAAAAAGATCAGAATGCTGCCAAATTAAAGTGGCTTCTGAGAAATGGAACACAGGAGACTATAGCCAGAGTTAGGGAGATGAGGAAATATTAATAACACTGAACTGAAAGTGAGAAGGATTATTTAA